CCCCAAAACCCCAAAACCCCACATTGATATAATTAGCTTTTACTCAGAAATTTAGATATTAAAATGCAGATTGATTTGCAATATTAATGAGTTATATTAATAATAATATTAAATTTTTTAATTTTGCGAGGCTTCCTAAATTTAATGCTAATGAAGCCTTAATTAAATAAATTTCACAACTATTTCTCTTAAAATTACTCTAGCAATGAATTCATGCTCTTTCATTCAATCAGTAAGATTTTGTATTTTTCTTTCGATGGTACTAAATTAAGAAAGAATGTGCCATTATAAGAAACTCCAGCGAAAATCCAAGCATCTCCTGCACTCCAATCTATAACATGCACAGAGTCCTCAAGTTCATATCTTTACAAAAGCCGAACACCATTTCTATTAATGGGCTAGTTCTGCTGTCTAAATGTTTGGCCAAGTTAATTTGATTAGTAGTATCTTGAACTAATAATATCCATCTAGCTCTCCGTATCATTTCGTTAGGTCTATGTAAGCATTCTCTCTGTGTCAGGACCATAGCCATAACCTCCATCAGGAAGTGTCATTGAAGTCATTAATGTTGTATTTAAGTCATTAATTTGAGACTAAGGCATTTATGAAACAGAAGGTGCACTGTAGAGAGAAACAAATGTAGATGTACAACCTGTTAAGAGTAGCTAATCATGAAATTTGTTATACTTTATCTTGCCTATCCAGTGTGAGTCTTCCTCATACTCTAGTAAAGATTTCTCAGTCTTCCTTAGATCCCAAAATCTTATCACACTATCTTATCCGCATGTTGCAACAGTATTCAGTTTATTTGGATTGTAGTCTAGGTCCATAATTAAATCAGAATGTGCTCTATTTTAACTGATTGCTATATCTGAGGCTGCATTTTTTATTGGAATTCTTTGGTCAATCTGATAAAAACCCTTCTCTATTCCCAAGCATAAGATTTCTTTATGATGAGGATCTCTCTTTACTACAGAGCATTCTCCTAAGCTATCTTCATCATTAAGAAAAGACTAGGGGTCATAACTTAGCTTTTACGTTGATTATTTAATATCCCATACTATAACTCGACTAGTATCAGCTGACACTATTTCTTTGGCAGCATATCCTTCTTAGTATTCAGCATCCTCCCAACAAATACTATGAATATTTGAGGTATGACTTGATTCTTTATTTCCTTTGAGAAGAGTTTTTATCTTCAAATTTTTCTTATCGAATTCTCTAGTTGATTCTTTAGCTTCACTTATATCATAGAGAGCAAGAGAATGCTCACCATTTAACTGGCATTACTATCCACATGCAAAGATATTCTTATTGTAAGGTGAACTTGAAATTGACCAAACCTCTCCTGATTCAACTTGAAAGACTGCCTCTTAATCAATTCGATTTGAGTCTTCAGAGTAGTTTATCAGATGAATTTCATTCTCTCTCTTGAATGAATTTGTTCCGATCAAGAATCTATGATTTGCCTAATCTGCCATTACGGCACACATTGCCCTAGACTATTGGAATTAAGATTTTTAAAGGTGTCATTACAAATAAGTTTTCTGGGAGTGAGTAGACATTAGCACCTCCTCTCATTTTTAAATTTAATAATAAAGCTACCTGCTAAATTATAAGAAATATTATTAAAATACAATTAATCACAGTAAATACATAATCTAATACGGAATTTAAAACAATGAATAAGGAGCATATGCCAATTGTATAGTAAAAACCAGACAATTAAAGAAAAGACCTAGGAACAATGATCTTGAAAAATAAGTATTAATTATGCTTTTTCTCTAAAGGAGGAGGGTTCGGAGAAGTGTACATTGCAAAGCACATAACTAAAGAATACGATGTTGCTGTCAAATTCGTAACATTTAAACTCAACTAATATAATATTAAAGTCACCTATGGGTAAATTAGAAAACAAGCGATAATTCGACAATGAAATCTAGGTCCTTAAAGTTATAAAAAGACTCTAAAACTCTAAAGGTATCCCACTATTTATCTTTAGATTAATTGTTTCAATAGGATTTCCCAGATTGCTAACTCATGGCCTATTAGAAGAACATCAATTGAGCTATATGGTGATCACTAAATTCGATTGTGATCTTGAGCTCATGTTTACTTATTATAAAAGGAAGTTTCCTCTCCAAACAATATTACTAGTGGGGATGCAGATGCTCGATTTGCTTGAAAAATTTCACTCTCTGGGATTTGTTCACAACGATATGAAGCCATAAAATATAATGACCAAGTATGGCCAGAATCAGGTGTATTTGATTGATTTTGGGCTAACATCTAACACCGCAGAATAAAAGAAATATAAGTTTAGAGGAACTCCATTTTTTGCATCGAACAGTGCATTATTAAAGCAAGGAAACGGTCCTAAAGATGACATTGAAAGCCTTATATACATCTTGATATACTTTAACTATGGGAATTTGCCTTGGACAAAAGATATACCTGTTCTCCAAGATGATGTGATGTCTAACCTTTAAATATAAAATGTGATACATCTTCGAAGCCCCTATAACTTATGTTAAGATATTGACTCTGAATTTGCTCAAATGCTAGATTATCTTCAGAATATAAGCTATAAGAAGAAGCCAAATTATAAACTCATTAGATCTTTGTTTGAGAGCATGATGCAACGATATAAATACAAGCACCAGCTAGATTGGTCCAAATTGCAAGGACCCCCTGTAGACTTGTTGAATTAAGAAGGGGCGTAATTGACAAAAAATTTGAATTCTAAGTGCGTAAAAAGCAAAATCTAGAGTCATAGACATGCTGAAAGCGATAGCTCTTAAGTAATGATAGATCACAATAAGGAAAAATTAATTAATCCTAGGAGCAGTTGAGTGAGAAACAAGTCAGTTATAAATTTGGGAAAAATCAATTAAGGAGGAACACCAAGATCTTAATTTGCGAAACAAAAAAATAACTAGAGAAATAACAATATGAATCCTTAAAACTCTAGAAAAAACAATTTCAATAATAATTTAGATGATTCGTTTCAAGACTAAGAAGATAATATAAGTGAAGAAGTTGACTCTATAAACTCTAAGTCAAAATACCCTGTTTACTAGAGAGAATGTAAAGAGAGTAGATCATTTTAATTGCTAATGCAACCTAGTGAATTTATTCGAATAAGAGCTTAATCATTTTCAGATGATGAAAACTTAGATGAGCAGAGCATGGTGAACAATGTATATCTGAATAGAATTAAACCTAATAATATCAAACTCCAATCTAGAAGGAGAAATAGTAGTATGGAAATGAAAGTGAAGTAAAATTTAGTTTGAATCATGTCTATCGCCATTCTAATAACCTCATTTTAAGGACCGTTATATCTACCAATATTAACTATTTGTATGCACAGGAAGTTTATTAAGCTTCAAGTTTAATTCACTGTTGAGAATCAGTTTTTGTGTTATTTTTTTATTCAAAACCTAATCAAATGATGCTTTTAGATTGAAGGGGTTTTGGGGTTTTGGGGTTTTGGGG